CAGGAATGGACAGTCATTTTGCAACAAAAACACATTAACATTAAATCCCAGCTAAAATAATCCAGCAGAATTAGTTGACAGTACTTTAATAATCCTACATCAATGCTGTTAAAAGTCCTACAGAGTACCCTTGAGGAAAAAACCTACTTCTTAAAAAAAGAAATGTAAAAAGAAAAATACTTCAAGCCTACCTTATCAATCATTTTCATCCATTTTGGTAAATCGTCAAATGTTTCCTTCTTGGTGATATCATACACCAAAATAATTCCCTTGGCACTTCTGTAATAAGCTGAGGTAATGCTGTTGAATCTCTCCTGACCTGCTGTGTCCCTGAGAAGCAGCAGCAAACATTGGCACAAATATTTCACCAATTTGCAAAGTACAGAATAACTCTGTTTACATTTCAATAAAAACACCCCCACAGTCACTAGAAACTCAATATTGAGCATTTCCTTCTATACGTGTGAATCTCAGGCAAAAAAAAAAGGAGCAGTACTTTCATTCATAAAAAGTTTTCGTATCAGGACTACTTATCCCATACTAACTTCACCCAGCAACTCTAAATGTGTCTGAGAATGAAGCTGTCCAAAGAAAACATACCAGCAGATGAAGCTGGCTTTGTGTTGTTGGGGCTTGCATGCATTTTTTAGGTTCTGTTTTATTTGTTTTCAAATAGCCCTGAAAAAAATGAAAAAATAAATGGATATATGGTTATCAAACACAGCTGTACATCCTACTATAAAATGAGCAATGCACTGGCCATTATGATTTTGATCTTTTGGAGCCTTTTTGGATCAACCACAGCAATTCAGCCACGGTCCTGAAACTATGGCAGAAGCTACTGGCAGAAGGGGATGAAAAGAGTGAGCAACCACTATGTGGTAAAGCTTTTGAACGTGGATAACTGCCTTTCACACTTATATTTACTAATCTGAGGAGTTCAAATAACATTTCCATTCTCACTTTCAGCATTGTAGGGTGCATTTACACCAGAGACTATTTACCAGCAATGACACCATGTCTCCTGTGCTAGCTATGGCTTCTATTTCCAAAGCAGATGAGACAGAAGGGTTATTTTTTTACTGAACCATGAAAACCTGTGAACTGCTTTTAATCATATCATGCCTGTTTATGGAAGATTTTTGGCAGTTATACTTGAAAAAAATAGCTGGTGCATACTCTAAGTCTTAAAATGTGACTGGTATCACAACTGGAAAGTTATACAGTGCTGCAAAGTGATCAAGCATTTGCTGCTTGAGTTCAGCCTCAGAGTCAATGGATAATTTTGAAATGCCACTATTGGAGCAAGTCAAAAGATGGATCAAAATTAAGAGTGGATGGGGGGAAGTGTGTGCATGCGTGTAGGG